ATCAAGCCTTATAAATAGACAGTCATATCAGAGTAGGCTCAAACAATGAGACAAAAAATTTTACATCTTCATTAGAAATCTTCACTGGAAACAAAAAAGCAAAGACAATCAACAAAATATAATAGCAATTGGAAGAGCCAACAGAATCAATGTGGATCTAAATCGATCCAGCAGCTTGCAGACCAGAAAACTCGATCATACAGAAAATAACAGAAACACGAAGATGAACTCAAAATATACTATTGTTTTTAAAATAAAAAAACATCTTTAGAGGGGTGTTTTCAAGTGGAGTTTTAGAGGGTCAATGATAATATCATATTCGAGTGTCTGGGTAAAATTTCAGACCGAGGCAAAAACAGATAGAGGGGCGATTTTTTCATATGGGTAGATCAGCCGTATTCATATGCCATTTTTCACATGTGGATGATTGCATAACGACTTTCAGGCTCACATATCATATTGGCAGCAGATTATACAGCATAGAAAGAAATAGCGAAGCTGAATACAAGTTGCCTCACGGCCTCCCAAGTCTATGGACCTTGAGCGAGAGCCTCCCAAGTCTATGAACCTTATGGACCTTGAGCGAGAGCCTCCCAAGTCTATAGACCTTGAGCGAGAGCCTGATGGTGTCTGTGAGCGGAGAGAAAAAACGTCTAACATCAGAGGACTGGTCTCTTGCATCAACAAAAGGCCCCTGAAAGAGGTGGAAAGGCACCTCCAAAAAAATGCAAATGTACGGATTTCATGGGTGCTGGTAACCTTAGATGTATAAGGATGGCTTCCTCGCGCAGCTGGAGTAGACAGCAGAGCGGAACTTCTCTATGCCACCATCAGTGCAAACATCGTCAATACTGTAACCAAAGGGAGCTTCATAGAGAGAGAGAGCGAGTGAAAAAGAGGGCAAGGCATTTAAGGGGCATCGGGCCAAGGAATACCAAGAGAAAGGACTGCAACTCACAACTGCTGAATACCAAGAGAGAAAAGACGGTGCAACTAGAAGATGCCAAAGATGGCACCTGAAAATAGATGGTGATTTGCAAAGGGAAGCTTTGACGAGACCATTGATGATGCAAACAGCAGCAAGCAATGCAAACACCAATGCTTGATGGGATCCCTAAGCACTCAGATCAATAAGCGATTGAAGAACTGACTTGAGAGCAGATACGTTGAAAAACGACTTGACAGAAGGGCTTAGATCAGAGGTTCATGAGCAATCAGAGAACAGAGATCCCTAAGCACTCAGATCAACAAGCGATTGAAGAACTGACTTGAGAGCAGATACGTCGAAAAACGACTTGACAGAAGGGCTTAGATCAGAGGTTCATGAGCAATCAGAGAACAGAGAACATATGAATCGAAACACCACTCACCAGAAGGGCTCAAATCAGAGGTTCACAATTCTCAAAAAATCTCTGCCCATGATACCATGATAGAATCTCATAATATTGGTAGAGAACTCTCTGTATATCCAAGTTTGATTAAGGTCTTTGAAGCTTATGATGATTTGAGACCGATAGCAATATGGAATTGTAATTATAACAGAGTGTCAAATAATGTGATTTCAAAATATACACTACTATTAAAGGACGTTGAAGGCATGCTGCTACACAAGGAATGGGGGATGAATTGATTTGGGGGGTCGAATGCGATGTAAATTTTAGTGTTAAATCAGCTTATAATTTACTATTTCATGAGAGAATGAGATGGAGTCAGAGTTCCTTAAAGAAAATTTATTTCATGAGAGAATGAGATGGAGTCAAAGTTCCTTAAAGAAAATTTGGCTTCGACGTGTTCCATATAAAGTGAAACTTTTTGGCGGGTGTTGCTGCAAATAAAAAGAATTGACAATTGATAAACTAATAAAAAGTGGTGGCATCTTCACCAACATATTCTTTCTTTGTAAGGAGAGTGATGAGGATGGGGACCACTTGTTTCTACGTTGTCTTACACTGATATCGTGCTGGATTTTCCAAAAATTGAGGGTTACTTTAACAATGCTGAGTAGCCACACTGATTTGCTGAACATTTGAGCTTAAGAGGGATTGCCTAAGATAGGAGGAATTCTTTGGCAAATTTTTAGGGCAGCAGTGTTGCGGGAGGTGTGGCTAGAGTGTAATAGAAGAGTTTTCGAGATTGCTGGTCTGAAGGTGGAGCTAGTGGAAAGAAGGATCTTGCACACTATATAGAGTTGGTTTTCAATAACCAAAAAAGGTTTTGGTGTTTCCAAGGTAGATCTCGTTGTTAATTTTAATAATTTGATCATTCAAAAAATAGTGAAGGTTAAACGAAAAGAGAGATGGGAATCACCTATGGCCAGGAGTGTGAAGCTTAATTCCTGCAGGCTATGGAAGAATTCTTATGGATTCAAATGCGGATGTTATTGTGGGGTTCTGTAGGAAATGAATAGGAGTTATAGGCCCTTTCAAAAGGCTTATGCTTGTTTGTACAAAGACAAGTTTTGAAACTATGCTTTGTCGAGGGTGATTCTTTAAACATCATCAATTGGTGTAATAAGGTGACCAAACCACCTTGGAGATTGAGGAAGATATGAATGCAAGTTTTGGAGTTGTGTGAATGTTTGGGGGTTTCACTCCAGCATATGTACAAGGAGGCCAATGACCTTGGAGATACTCTACCAAAAAGGGGTGGAAAAAATGGAGTCCATTCGAATTCGTATGTCTTGTTTGTTTGATTTCATTGTAACCTTTTATTAGTTAATTATGTGCTCGGGGTAGCAAAAGGGAAAGTGGTTGAAAGCAATGGTGCAGGTCATAGACTAAGGCGAATGATTGTAGATGGAGAGGGAATAGGAGGTGGATGAATTGTAGGGAAAAGACTGTAGGGGAAAGGAGGGAGAGAGGGGGGAAGAGAATTCTTTCACCCCACCCCAAAAAAAAATCCCCAAAAGAAAACAAAGACACCTTGAGGGTTGAGGTTAGAGAGGGAGAGAGAGCTGGGAGAAAGAGAGCGAATGAGAGAAGCTAGCGTTCAGATTTGAGGTGTAAAGCTTAGTTCTGAGGCAGATCTGAGCTAAGAGGGAAGTAGAGAAAATGTTGCAAGAGAGAGGGTGGGAGGGTTAGGAGAAAGAGAGGATGAGAGAAGCTAGAGCTCAAATCCTAAGACCTAATGCTCAGATCAAGGTAAATTACACAACCATACATTTCAAAATATGTGTGATATTTTTTAATAAGGCACAAACAGTTATATACCGTATGTATTCATTTTGAATTCTATCCTTATTTATCTTATCACCTATTCATCTCACCATCATCATCTCTGCTGCACTAATACTAAGGATATATTTTCTCATTGGAGATTTTTGGAATTAAGGAAAAAAACGAATTTTGAGATCTGAAAATAGTACATCTTGTAACAAATTATCTGACAATCTATTTTCAAGATTTTCAAATATTAAGAGATTTACTCAATATGCATTATTTTTAGAATTCTAAATTTCATAAGTAAGGATTTTCAAGACATCTTAAGGTTTTTGGCATATGAACTGCATGTCTGAACGTATCCACTATAAGGTAGGCACCTAATAGAAACCTCACCCCAAAAGAAAAAGATATTAAAGAGAGTTTCCCTTTTATCAACATTAGCAACCATTTTGAAGTGTACGAAACATTTGTAGCCCTTTATAGCTGCATCTATGCAACGTAGAAGAGAGGCGTGTAATGGTTACAATGGTCGTTTTTGAAATCATGGTATGAAAGGATCAATTTTCAAATAAAAGTTATTTATATTAAAAATCTCTTAAGTCCATCAATCTAGATGCGCATAATTTGTCTTTCAAAACCTTTTTTATTATACACGTTCGCTAAATGCTTTAGAGTTGAGTCTAATATTATGCAGAATTTCAACTCTTGAAGAAGGTATTCTCTTAGTTATCCGGTTGGGTTCTTTCTCAATACAAATAGATAGTGATTCATCTTTGCTACTCAAAATTGTTGCAATGCCCCATAAAAATTACAAACGATAGTTAATAACTGTGGTGCTCTCAGCTAAGAAACCATCTACATCTACAAGTGCAACAATGTGGTACGGTCATTCGCCAGACTTTCTTTCTCTTTTATTATTACATGATTTGACGCAACTGCCTTATTCTAGGGTTGTAAATTTTCCAATGAATGAAAATTTCAGATAGGGGCCTTTTCCCCCACTGACTTATCCAAAAAAAATCCTTTTTCATTGAGAATGGGGCTGGGGATCTCACCTAACGCCTTCAAAAATCACTAACAATTTAGAAAACGGGTAGGGGGCTCGTCATCACCATTGAATTACCCAAAAACAAATCCTTTTTTGTTGTGTTTCTTTCTTTTTTTTTTATCATTTTTAAAAAAAAGGGTCTGGGTTGTGGTGGTAGTATCCCTATACCTAATCACAACTTTGTGGTTGTCATTCCTACCACTAACACCACCCCACTAACACCTTCAAAAATCTAACTCCTAAGCTACCTAAAAAAAAACACATAAGGGCATGTTTCTCCACTAAATTCCCCAAAAAATACATATATATCTCTTTTCTCTTTTTTTTTCTTTTTTTAGCTTTTGTTATTCAAATCCCATAAAAATCTATTAATCCATCAAAAATGGCCGTTACAAACTTTCCCGCTCTATCTGCTACTCACGTCTATGGGGATCATCTATCTCTGTATTTCTCTCTCTACAATGAATATGTATTCTAAAGGAGGCAAAGTCTCTCCGTCATGGGAGGTAAATCTCTGCCATGCCTGGAGCACGCATCCATATCTCTCTTTTACTATTTTTGTACATTTCCCTCTCATCACAAAGCCAGAAAGATTCAATGCACAATGCCTTTCCTCCTCCTCGTATCTCTATTCCTATTGTTACAGAGACAGAGAGCTTGCACAATTTCAGCGAACCCTAGAGAGAAGAGAGAAAAGAGAAGGGGTTATCCATTTGCGGCCGTAACCTCCAAAGCTCCATAACAGAGACAGTCGTTCCTCTCCTTGATACACCGATACAGAAAGAGAGGAAATGGATATTGCGGAAGACAGGATAAGCGAACTCCCGACAGAGATAATTCTCATGATTCTCTCTCTGCTAACGATCAGAGAAACTGCGAGAACATCCGTCCTCGCTCGCAGGTGGAGGTCTGCTTGGGCCTCAACTCCAGTGCTTAACTTCTGCCAAGATACATTATACTCATTCTCAGGCAATTGGGCAAATATAGTCAATTCCGTCCTCTCTCTCCATCGCGGTCCCATTTTAGGGTTTAGGCTGGGTAGAATAGTTTTGTGCAGCAGTGAAGATCTCGATCGGTGGCTCTCTATCGTATCCAGTCGAGGGATCGAAGATTTGGTCATCGACTTTTATGACCAATATGTGCCATACACAGTTCACCCTAGCTTCTTCTCTTGCTCATCTTTGGTATCTATAGACTTAACTTCATGCAAGCTCGAGATCCCCAAAGATTTCGAAGGATTTAGGTTACTCAAACTTCTCTCTCTGAGAAATGTGGCTCTTACTGATACTATACTTCAGACCATAGTTTCCAAGAGTGAGAAATTGGAAGATCTGACCCTGATTGATTGTGAGGGACTGCGTAATATCAAAATCGTCGCCTCGAACCTCCATAATTTCCATCTGTTTGGTGCATTTTCTGAAGTTGATTTAAGTGGGAGTTTGAACATCCAGGACCTTTTCATTAATTGGGATGGTGATGGAAATGGGGTTTGGCCACCCAGACGGATTATCATGAGTCTCACCAAACTGGAGTCTCTGAGCGTCACTGGTCTTCTTCTATTTGTGAGTGCTGTTTTTGCATTATAATCATTCTTAATAACTTGCTTAGTTACTGTTTTTTCTCTTTGGAGATTTTACCTACGAAATACTGCCTCTGGATGATGATTTTTTTTGCTTTCATTTTCACTTTTAGTAACCTGTTTAGTTAGTAAAATCAGTAGCTACTTTTTCTTTACCATTTGGTTAGTCAATAATAGTCGTGTAAGGCTCGGATGATGATGATGAAAATGATGATTTTGTTATTAAGTAGACTATATTACTATAGCCACTTTTGATATCCATATTATGTAGGGCCTGTCTAAGGTTATGCTTTTATTTTCATTATTAATAATTCGAATAGTTAGTGAAGTGAGTTGAAATATTTTTCTTAATGATTTGTTTAGGAGTGAATTGAATTATTCTTTTTCAAGATCCTATTTTGTTTAGGTACTTAGGTTTGTGTTTTTGCATCCCTTTCTTCGTGAGTAGATGTCGTTCTTGACTTTTATCATTGATGATGATTTTTTTGGAGGCTAAAATCTAGTTATATCCTTTCGATATTTTACGTAAACGCTGCATTTTTTTTTTTTTTGGGCCAATTGCAACATCCCCATGTTTGGGCCAAATTCATAAAAGGAAATTAGTTTTTCAAGTTTGCTTAATTGGTTAAACCACTGTTTTAAAATTCGGATTGGCCAGGTGAACTAACCATCTATCTAGACTGGACTGCGAATCGATCCAAATAGGCAAAGTGGATTGATTCTCTAGTGGATCGGTCTAAATAATAAAAAATTTCACTAAATAAAACAAAAAATTAAAAATGAAGTGTGTGGGAATAGTGATCCAGCCATCTCGGATCGCCTAGTTCCCTGAAAAACTCGCGTGGTTCCCTAATGGAATCGGTCAATTGTAGGGAACTAGAGCAATTCCCAATTCTGACAAGTAACCAATCGGCCATGGTCAATTCTCAATCACCAATGTTTAGACATGAGGTTGAACATATCACTTAATTGGTTGAACTAATGTTTGAAAATTTGCCTATCTATCGGTCCGGATTGGGAATCAATGGGGACTAGCCCAATTCCAAGTAAGAAACCATGATCGGCCCCATTTTCACAAACTCTCGCATTTCCATCAGAGAGGCATGTCTATTAGGGAACCGGGGCGATCCAGATCTACTAATTTGTCCCGTTCTGTGAATTTCAATTTTTATTATTATTTATTTTCAATTTTTTTATGAAAATTGTCCAGTTATATTATTTATTTTCAAATTTAAAAATATTATTTAATTGTTTTGTGAACCAATGATTATCATCAAGACTATCCCGTTATGCATCCTAATTATTCGTTCGCCAGTCCAAATCGGTAGCTGGTTCTCCTAGCTGATCTAGTTTTTGAAATATTGGTTTGAATAGATAGAGAATTAAAAATTGAGGGCTAAGAATTTGGTTTACCATTTTGGCTTTTGATGGTACACAAATAAAAATGCAGTGGGAAACATGCATAAAATTTTGATTTTCGATGCCCTTACGTTTTTGCTTTGGTAAGATGAAAGAAAACGGACAACTTGATTTAACATGCAACTTAAACTTTGTTCACATTGTGACCAAAACCCTAAACGCAAAAACCCCAAACCCTAAACCCTTCGTCCTTGTGTTTTAAATGCACCATTGAGGCATCTTGTTAGGAGTTTCACCGAATTGGTTGTTCAGATTGCACATTAAAAATTAATGGCTAAGAAATACGTTTAACGGGTTGCCTTTTGGGGACAAAAAAGATATGCGCGGGATTCTATTAAAAATTTTCATTCGCATCTCCAGTATGAAAACACCATCTGCTTTTGTTTAGAAATAGAACATTAAAGTGCTTGAAAAACTTGATTTAGCTTGCACTTTGAATGTTTAGCACATTGCCATTCCCTCTTGTTCTGTACCCATTATATCAACTTATTTTCCACTGTTTTTTCTGAAAAAAATGACTTTGTTTTTTTTTGTCGTTTTTTCTTTTTTTCGTTTTTTTTAACTTTAACCATGAAAATGTTTGGGTGACTTTGGATTTTTTTGCACATTGTCATCCCATCCTCATGTTTCGGTCACAACCATGATGGAAACTCGCTTAGCAGGCTTCATTAAATAGTTAAACAGATCAAACACTTAAAAGGCACTCGCACAGAAACTGGTTTAAACCGCGTAAAATTATTGTTTTATCTTTGCTAATAGAGAACAAAAAGGAAATTGGTGATGAAGGGCCCAATTTCGGATCCACAAATCCAAGCATGGACTGCTAGTTTTTATATGCTTAGAATGGTGTAATTGTGGGTTTCCAAAGTCTTGAAGGGGGTAAGAGAGAGTGAAACGTGAGGAGTTTCCAAGATTTGCAAGTTGGAGTATGATTAGGAACTTGTTGACTTTAAATATGGATTGTGTATTAATATATATATATATATATATATATATAAGAGTTAGTATATGCGATTTTGAATTCAGATTATGTAATTTTTTAAAATGCATCAGTTTGGTCAGTGTTTCAAAAAACGCTAGCTGCAACTTAGGCCGCCCAACCCTTAGGCGGGTGCTCAGAACCTGACAACCCAGTAGAAAGAAAAATGTCTCTATGTTTCTAAGGACCGAAAATCTTCTAAAAAACACTCTAATAGATTTATAAAATATCCAAAACTAAATCTAATATCAATAGTGATGTTGAGATCAATTTCTTGTATCTTTGAACAACCCTTCTATCCTATGGAAATTATTTTTTTTTGGGTTTCTCTTTCTAAAATAGACTCTAATAGGGTTTTTATTTCAAATTAGCCTAAACCCCACAAGTTTGGCCCTTTTATATTTAAAAAAGACATCCCCCTAGGGAGGGCGCAGGCCCTGGGCAGCTACCCAGAGCTGAACGCCCACCTAGGCGGGTTCCCTAGCACCTAGTTGGGTTCCCAATGATAATGCACCTAATTTGGCCGCCTAGCACGTAGGCCTTTTGGAAACAAAGAGAGCTTGGATCCCAGGATTTGGGCGGTCTGTGAGAGCTTGGCTCCTACCCATATTCTCTCTCAACATTCTCTCTTTGTGGTTGTTTTCTCTCACTAAGTTGTTGTACCTTCATAGCTCAACATTCTCTTTGTAGTTGTTTTCTCTCACTAAGTTGTTGTACCTCCATAGTTTGGCCGCATCATTTGGTATCAGAGCATGAGTTGGGTAGGGTATTGTCTCCGTTTACACCTTTTCCATGGCTACGAGAAGGGGGAGAGGAGGTTGTGACAATTATGGAGTGAACAATACAAGAGACGAAGAGTTGGAGGCACTTTGGAGGCAAGAGGAGAAGTTAACCTTGCGACTCGAGCGTCAAGAAGTTCGCAACATGATAGACGGATCATATTCATGGTGTAATAATAGATTTGTGCACTACGTCATCGACCTAGGTGCCAAATCAATGATGATTTGAGCAGGCATTATGGAACTCTATCCGAGAACAACCATAGAGAAACTTTGTTCTCATAAAAAATTTCTCATAATCCGCCCGTTGTAGAGTGGGACTTAACACCAGTCTTTGAAAAGTACATGAATGATGATTTAGGTGCTGAGAAAGAAGTTGCCGATAATAACCAGGTGGAAATGAAGTAGTTGATTGCAAAATATTGGAGATAACTTGTTTTTTTGTCCCATAAAAAATAAGTGAGATACATGATATTTAGATGGAGGGGAAGAAGTAGACGAGGAAACAATTAGAAGGAGAAACTAGAAAGAATTCCTTTCTCTCAATGATGGTGGTGATATTGTGTTTTGATACAATGACTTCTTTCTGCTACTTTATGACTACTGTGTTGGTTGTGCCCAAGCATTTTATGTCTTATCTGAACCGGGTTGCCACTGGGTTATGCTCAAAGGAGCTTAGCATTGTCATTTATTGTTCTTACTGCACTCGTCTTTATGCATTTCAAAGGTTGTTGGAAAGTCTTCTTAAATGTGCTCTACAAAGATGGCACTTCTCACTGTGTAATATAGTGTTTCGAATACGAAGTTGAGGACAACTTCTCTCGAACCTGAAGGATGATGTAGGGCCCAATATGGGACTCCCAAATTCGGCATGGACTGCTAGTTTCCATGATTTTAGAGTCATGTAATAGTGAGTATCCAAAGTCTTGAAGGATGATGTAATGCCCAATATGGGACTCCCAAATTCGGCGTGGACTGCTAGTTTCTATGAGCTTAGAGTGATGTAGTGAGTATCCAAAGTCTTGAATGAGGGGTAAAAGAGAGTCGAGGAGTTTCCGAGATTGGGGAGTTGGAGTATGCTTAGGAACTTGCTGGATTGTGCAATACGAATGGGTTAGCTTTTAATATATACTGGAAACTTGAAAGACAAATAGCATAAAAGGGTTAGGGTGTGTCATTTTGAACTCAGAGAACTTTCTTTTAAAAATACAGCAATTTGATTGTAATTTTCAATAGAGCTTGGCTTCCACCCAATTTTTTCTCTCTGCATTCTCTTTGTGGTTGTTTTCTCTCATTAAGTTGTTATACCTCCATTGTTTAGCCGCAACATGTAGGTTGCCATCAGCACCTCATTTTTCAGTGCACTCATGAAGGCAACATGCTTACAAAGTTGCTTGATTTGCTAAACAAGTTGCGAAGTAAATGTTACGGTGTAAGAAATCAATGTAATATGATGCTTTTCGAGGCATATAATAAACATGCAGTGGGGTAATTGTATTATAAATTTTATTCATGGGGTCCATGTAAAAAAATATGTTTTCTTTTCAGGAAAGGAGACACGACAAGTATTTAGAACCACATTATTTGACATGCATTTTGAATTTTAATGCAGCCACATTTTTTGACATGCATTTTGAATTTTAATGCACTGTGCTATCTCATTCACGCTCAATAAGCCAACCTGTTTAGCAGGTTTCACCTAATTGGTTGAATAAATTGAAAATTAAAAGTTGCATTTTTGGGTGGCACAATAAACATATGCGGTAATATTAATAAAATGTTTGTTCAGGCAACTGCACGAAAATACTATTTTAATTTCAAAAAACTAAAAGCAGTTCTTGCAACTACTTTGTTTTGAGTCTTTTAACATGCATTTTGAATTTTCTCCACACTGCTATTGCTGCGTTCCATTAATTAGTTGAACAGATTGTGAACTAATAATTACTTGCTAAAGAATCAGTTTAACTGGTTGCCTTTTATTTAACTTTTCGAAAAGATCGCGCATGGAAAGTTACCATCTATGATATTCACTAAACAGGTTCCCTTTCAATGGCATACAATAGACATGCAGTGAGAATTTATGATAAAAAAAAGTTTCCATGTAGCCTACATGAGAACAAGATATATTTTCTTTTTCATAAAATGAAGACGAAAAAATAATTAGAACCACTTGATTTAGCATGCTTTATGATTTTTCTTTTTGCACATTGTTATCCCTTCTTCATATTTTGGGTGCCCATTAGGACTACTTGTTCAGCAAGTTCACCAAATTGATTGCAGAAATTGCGAATTAAAAGTTAGCAGCTGAGATATCAATTTATGAATTGCATTTTGATAGTGCCCAATAAACATGTGATACGGAATATCTATGAAGTTTTTATTCACGACACCCATGTGAAAAATTAGAGTTACTTGATTGGTTTTTTTGCACATGGCCATATTCTCCTCATGTTCTTGCCACGCCCATAAAGGAAACTTGTTTTGCAGGTTCTTTTAATTGGTTGAATTGATGATGATTTAGGAGTCATCTGGATAGAAACTGGTTTAACCGGTTGCCTTTACGGGGGCACATAATAAACCTGTGTTGGGGAATTTGAATTTAAAATTATGTTGTTGACAAATTGAAGACATTAATCTATTTTATTTTTTAGAAAATGGGATGAAAAATAATTAGGACATCTAGATTTTGACATGCATTTTGAATTTTTATGTACATTGTCATCCCATCATGTTTCAGGTGATCCCCTCCTCATGTTTCAGGCACACCATAAAGGCAACTTCTAGCAGATTTGCTTAATTTGTTGAGTAGATTGACAATTAAAAGTTACATGGAAAAACTTAAGAAATATTCCAATACATGGCAAGACTAGAGAAATAATTAGTTCTCTAAATGGACTTGCCAAAAAGAAACACACTGTGATTGGAGCAAAAGATGTTTGAACCAGTTAGTGATGTCGTCCTTTTCTGGAAGTAAAAAACCACAGCAATTATTTTGGTGGACTATGAGGAAAAATGGCTTTCACACAATGAATATAGTTTCCCAAAAGCACTACTTTGATGTTTCCTACTAGTTTTCTTTTTGCTATGGAGAAGAATGAATCATATGATAGTTGTGGTAGTTGAATCATATGATAGTTGTGATTATTGAAAGCGGTATTCAGAATCGAAGAAGGTATAATTAAGGAATTATTGTGGAGTGTTTTTTACATCGTGGTTTGTTACTTGCAGAGCTTTTATGAGAACTCAGCTAATGGAGGGAATGGTGGGCTACCTACAATGTATAGTTATCTGCTGGCAATCGAGATACATCTAAATTGTATGGAAGTATCAAAGATCATGGGTCTGGTTAGTCTGTTGAAGAAGTTACCAAATCTAAATGCTCTTTGCATTAAGGTGAACATGATTCTCATAGTAGGTGGCATCTTTTCTACTTTGGGTTTCTTTTCCCTATGTTGTCTAGACAAGTCCATCATTGCTTTCATGTTTTGACCTTGTCCTCTTTTGTTTGGGATATCTTGTTTCTTCTTTTCTCTTTCGAAGGATCTTGAGCAGGAGCTAGAACCTGAGGGCAAATTGACTAAGAGTGACTTGGAGGCGTTGAATTCTGATGCTAGCTCTTGCTTTGCTCACCTCAAAAAATTAGAGCTAGAACTAGCTACTTACTTTGATGAAACTCTTGAAATAATTGAGTTCTTTCTACTAAATGCGGGGGTATTGGATGAGGTTTTTATCACTATCTGGAGTGTTGAGAATCAAGAAGAGAAATCAAAGATAGTGGAGCGGTTGAATTCCTTTCCTAGAGCTTCTTCTCATGCCAAGATCGTGTTTAGTTAGATTTGTTAAAATATCACATACTTACATTACTATGTTTGTTACTGGATATTTCTTGATGGAAACTTTTTTTTCTTTTCTTTTTTTTGGGTAAATTGAAGACTCTTATTCAAGTGGAAATATACATGTTCTTAATATTGATTTTTTTTGCTATCTAAATTTTGATACCTGTGAATGATATGACTCTTTGCTTCTTTGCTTTTCATCAGCAATAAAGAAGTGTAGAAGTCGAGTCCCCTTCTTTTAATTCATGAGTTTGGAGTTGAAATCCACAACCTAGGGTACAAATTTAGCCAATTGGTTAGAACCTGATTAATAAAATTTAATTATGAATTATTTTTTTTTTTTTTTTTTTGGTTTTGCTTGCATGTATTTTTCCTAAAGGCAGTTAGGGTCACAACTTTTTTGCAGTTCATGACAGTTGAATGCCAGAACTCATTTCTAATTGTACATTAAGAAAACAGTTCCCTAGTTGATTTACTGAAGCATCATCCTTTCTGGTGGAATTGTGATGTTAATATTGCCTCTCCATTAAACATTCCTTAGGAATGAAGAAGGTACTCCAGCCATTATTCTCAATAACACCTGTTTGCTGTGCAGTTTTCTTCCTCTTCTTTATTTAGACTTAGGGCTTAAAATTTTTCCCCAGATGATAATGTTCAAAGAAGAAAATAGATTTTGACTGTCCAATGCTTGGGCGTTCCCTGCTCAACGGACATTTTTTTTTTCAAGCACCTATAGACAATTTTTTATTTTGTCCCCCCCCCCATCCTTTCTTTTCTTTTTTTTTTTTTTGAAGTTTGACTGCTAGGTAGAAAGGTTATATCCCTAAAATTTTGGGGTCAAAAAATTCTCCTAGGTAGGGTTTTACTTGAGGGAGTAGCGGAAAAGCTCACATAGAGCATAAAATACTTTGAAGCAAAATTTGGGGCATGCATATGTTAGAAATTGTATTTCTGTATAATTAGGCCTTAAGCCCCATGGAAGATGTATTATTAAACTTATTAAACATATGAATAAGAGCCCCCATTTATAAGGTAATGATATATAAACTAACATATGTAATGAACCACCATCCTAATATGGATACACATAAAATGAAGAAAAATATTGTTCCTTAAAAGAAGCGTAAGTTTCTATATTTCTACACTCCCCCTCAAACTCAAACTATAGTTTAGAGAGAGCAACTTGAATTTGGACATCTGAAGGCAGTCTTTAGTAACAAAGCAGAAAGCTTGAGCAACTGCAAATTAGCGATCTGCAGAAACCGACATCTCGAACGGAAATGTCTCGCATAACAGCAAATCAACAGGCATCTAAAACATACATAATCGAGTAAACTTGATCATCACATTGGATGGAGTAACATAAAACTCTATCATAAAATCCATCATCCAATAAGATTGAGTAACGGAAAACTCAATCATTAAACATAGGCATTCGGAACAAACAGGATCGAGTAAACTCGATCATCACACAAGATGGAGTAACGGAAAACTCCATATCAAATGGGATCAAATAACGGAAAACTTGATCATCAACCAGAATCGATAAATTTGATCATCAAACATGAGGCACTTGGAAGAGCCAACAGAAATCAGCGGTGGATCAACAAGCACAATTGGACGTTAGATTCGAAGATGAAAACAATAAAATCCAAAATAGATCAGTAAGTCAAAACACGACTCGATAAAGAGACAAAACATAGAATCGAAACAGGAATCAACAGTCTCATATCAAAGGTTAAGTGATGGTTATTTTGCATATCGGACATTGTTAGAAGCTAAAACAATGGACAACGGAGCAAGCTTCTTCCCATTCGTGCGCCGATATATACGACAAGTTTGTGACTCGCAGCGAAAATCACCGATCCAGAGATCCTTAACAAGGAGACAATCGCCGAGTTATTGATGAGAGTAGCTGAGTTATTGAGGGCGTGCAGGAGGAGATTGTCTACGAGGACAAGGCCGCATGCAAGGAGAAACTGATAAGCCATACGTGTACGGATAAGCACACGCATGCAAAGGGTTATTGCACTGTAGGAGTTTGTCAGAAAAGAACCCCAATTTATAGTTCGATCCTGCATAGAGGCACAAAGCGGGCTACCGGCAAGCCCCTTGACACCATTATCATCATCCCCAAGCCCCCCATTATATTCATCAATATTCTTGGTCATAGAATCACCAGGAAACCAGCAAGTAACAAGAGACCATGATCATCATCCCAAGCCCCCCATATATTCACCAATCGTATAGGGATCCGGTTTTATAAACTCATGCTTCACCACCAAGTTCATGGCTTCTTCGAGGTTTCAATGGAAGGAGGGACTCATCAACTTTCTTGTCAAAAAAAACAAAAAAAAGGACTTATCAAAAACAAAGCGAAGGCCCAAAAAAAAAAAACAAATCTGAAGGCACCAAAAAGAAGTTTTATAAAATAAATAAATCCTCAGTAATGGCGATTTATTAGAGGCGACCAAAGAAAGAGCTATCCGGAAATGGCGAAACCCCTATCACCGACACTTTTTATCTCTCATCCAACAAAGACCGACTCTTTTTCTCTCTCTATCTCCTGCTGTAGCGGCTGCTTCCAGAGCTAGGTTGGAAGCAAATTTTGACGGGATGGAACCATGAGAAAAAAAATGGCATGGAACAGAGGAAGAGGCTTCGGGGATAGATTTTTCATGAAACACTAAAAGGTATATTGAAATTTTCGGAACAAATTTGAGGCGTCGATGCGAAGAGTATATTAGAGAACATACGGTAAAGATGAAAACAGATAAGACTGATGGACTGCTCCGAGACCATGTTAGAAAATGTATTTTTGTATAATTGGGCATAAGTCCCCCATAAAATATGTATTATTAAGTTTATCAAAGATGCGAACAAGCGCATCAATTTATAGGATTACAAAATTGTGTATTACTATAGAACGTAACATAATGAACCACCTTCCTAATTTAAAAAAAAAAGAAATATTGTTCTTAAAAATAAGTGCAGATTTCTATATTTCCACAGTATACATATAACAAAGAGGCACATGATAAAAATTACTTAGAGTGATAAAAAATGACTTGAACACTCCTTAAACTTTTAGGGCCATTTTTTTTTGTTTTTGTAAGTGCGCCTCAATAAGGAGATGGTATGTCCCAAATTTCAGCCAAAAAGGTTTGGTAATAAAATGAACAAAACTCAAAGTGTTTTAGCGTTACATTGTGACATGAGCAATCCTAGCCATCGATTAAAATTGAACGGCTGAAAAGTGGAGTCACATATGATATGTGTTTGGGGTCACACAAAAAGCTTTTTCTTATTTAAAAAGAAAACTTATATAAACAATTATTTACTTTTGATACAAGAATGTTACAAACCATTTAATTTTGGTATAATGAAATCACAATCACTCTTGTCCATTAGATTTCAAATTGGGTGGTTGTAAGAGTCTCATTGACCAGATTCAAAATCCACAAGAAAAATTCTCAAACCTCATGAAACACCCGAGCCATCCAATTTGACATCTAATGAATACGAGTAATTGTGACTTCTTTCTAACAAAAATAAAATAAATAGTCTCTTAGCATACAATTCCAATTAAAAAAAGCAACAAAAGCCTGCAAAAGTGGGCTCTAAGTAAGAACCAAAAACACAAGTTTCTGCCTCGGTGAACATCGTTAGTCCACCCAAACCGTATCATAAGGATGCTTTGAAGGCTGTTGATCAGAGGTTAGCTATTAACATAGGTGATTTGAAGGACGTCATTTCCAGAGTTGTATTTTTCTTGAAAATCAAAAATATGAAGGCAATACATGGAAGCAAGTTTCTGAGGTTGTAATCCATCAGGATCAAGGTTGAATTACCCGTGCACGCAAATCCCTATGCTTCTACTTACCATCCCCAACACTTCCAAGCGCATGGTTGCTCCTAATAAGATTACCATCTAACCCCCCCCCCCCCATATTAGACAATGGAACATAATTATCCTCAACCACAACACTGCAAACTAGAAATCTGCAAACTAGAAATCAGTTCGGACAAAAACCACTAATTTTTAAATGGGATTGTATACCACGAGACCATTTACATTTGGTTACAATTACTTACAACGATCCGACGTGAAATCTAATAGCTTCGGTGTATGACAAAGTTTCAAAAAATTTATTTTGAACTTTGAACTTAGTCGATGGAATAAATACCATAACCCAATTTTCACATCCAACGCTCAAAACCACCTTTACTAAAGGTAAATGATCTCTAAACATACTTTCCCTTTTTAAATTGGATTAACTATTGGAATGTTGTGTGCAAGGACGTGCACCTGTATGTTTGCGCGTGTTTGAGAGAGAGATCCGCATGCAGTGGCATGTGTCGATTTTGTCACTAAAACGATCCCATGATATTTCACAGTTTCATCAAAATTTCACCAAATCATTAATGGAACAAAGGTATCCACTTAGTTCTTTTGAAATTTCACTAATATGGCACTTTTCCTAAGAAAACATATAATTTTTGTCTCGCCCATTGCATTAGGAGATAAAAGTTCAGCTCTCATTCCACCCTAACATCCAAAAAAAGCGTAGATTGTGATTTTCATGGCATTCGAGGTTAACAGAAGGTTAATGAATAGATATTATATATAATGACACCGTTTACCTTGATGACAAAAAGATCACAATTACTTACAACCATCCAATGTGAAATATAATAACTAAGGTATCTCACAAAATTTGAGAAAATTTCTTTTAAAATTTAAGCTTTGTCTATGGAATAAATGCAACCATCTAATTTCAATCCAATGATCAAGATTAATTCTGACCACCTTGTACCAAAGACAAAGAGGTCTCATTGTATATTTTTCCTATTAAATATTGACTACTATTAAAAGAGATGGTCCTCACACTCACAACGTGGAACAGCAAAGCCTCACTCCCTAGGGATACCTCTCTTGCCCCTCACCATATATATTCAAGTGATGAACGTGTCACGACCACTTTATAAGGCTGCACTTGATCACCTCAAGGGAAACCTGCATTCCGAAGCCACTTTTTTTTGGGTAAAACTAGAGCCATTTGTTTGTTTTAACATTGTAAGCAAGAGATTAAAGAACTTCTCTCTAACTGGCCATGCCGCAACCCTGAGACCGCAGGCTGCGGCCAAGCACGACAGCAGACAGAATATTCAAGTGACGGGAAAGCTGCATCCATGAATACGACATAAAACAAAATAGCTTGGACAGAAATTTCAAGCCAAAGATGGAAAGGGCATATGCACACAAAAAACAATAGGTTTTCGAATGGCATTTAGTGTTGGTGTGAATAAGAAACAAGCTATCCTAAACAACATTCACACGTATCAGACGCGTATTCCAGAACCACCGTGTTACACTTTTCTGCCATCAAAACAAGCTCCAGCTCTGTAATATGTACAGAAACAGGCACAATACATAGTGTGCATGCCAGCAATACTCCAACATATGGTCATAACAAAACAGTGCGCACAACCACAATACGCAGCCAGAACAGCCTCCCAAGATTAGAAGCAACTCCAAGCTTAAGCCTTCTCTGCTACTGCTTTGTCAATCTCATCAACATGATCTCGAAGCACATACCACTACAGAAAAAAGAAGCCACAAACAAACTTAATACCAAAACATGAAACTACATAGGCACACAAAAGGGTACTAAAGTTCCCCTTTTTAGTGTCTTATCAAAGAACTGTGTATCAAACTGGAAGAATAAAAAGATGGATTATTTTGCAATCTCCTAGCACTTTAACAGACCTGTTGGAGATCAATATGTTGTAAAAGAACTATTCCAGTGCATAATTAACAATATTGTGCGCAATGGAAACAAAAAGTAATGAGCTGCAATAATCATCCGGGAAATGAATGGGATCAAAGAGAGAACATTTGTTTAGCTTTTGAAAGGTACAAAAAGTCTCAAAGATTTATAGCGATTAATATGATTAGGGTGTTAGCATGCACTCGTTTTTCCGACAAATAAGGTATTTGATAAACTGGAAAATGAAAACTCCAGAGGGAGAAATGGAATTCATAAAACCTCTAGAAAGATAATCTTAGAACAGAGATGGGGACATAGGAAAAAGGAGTAAAGACAGAACTCAAGAACAGGAGCTCTGAAAAACATAAAATGTTATGGAATCCTATCGACATGCTATGGATTCAAATTGTCTTTCCTGAGACACTATGAGGTTATGCTGGATATTCACTAACTCCAAACTCTGTGATTGTACAAGTTTCCAAGCATGTGCTTATATATGCACGGCAACACTAAAGAATGCAGAACATCAAAAACAATATAGAAGATTAAAAAAAAAAAGTCATACAGATTAAACTTAGTAAAATTCAAATTTCGACTAAACTTCTCATTTGAAAGAACTACGAACAACTAAAAAAAATTCACAAATGGTTTGCAAAATAACACAATATCAAAGTTTGAGGATTCAGAAATATTGATAAGCACAGGCTAATTATTAGAAAGATCAAGAATATCATTCATATCAGTTTTTCTATAACTAAAACAAATGCATTTATCTAAATAACATGAGTAAATGTTCTGATTTCTCAAAAGAATATGTACAATTATTATAGTCTAAATTCTCTAAGGGAACAAAACAAGACGCATTCTCTCAAAAAATAACAAGACAGCATGAACCACATCTAATATTGATGGACATTATTAACAACCTCAACAGAAAACAGGATAGGTTAAAGAGAATAAGAAGAAAAAGTAAGAGCCAAATGTAATATAAATCATAATCGAAAACAAAAAGATTAAATACATAAAAAAGGCTTTTGAGGGACGACAAATAGTAGCAAGTTCCTACAATCCATGACCTTCATGAAAGAAATATTGTCCATGAAGACATCAGAGCACTAAGAAAGCTCTGAAATAATAAAAAAACAGCTCATAAATATGCTAAATGCGATTATGTTTATACTTTCCCCATACACAATTAGTAAGAAGGGAAATGATCCTATTAGACCCAGCCCTAAAGCAGGTAGGGCCCCAATCTCCAAATTTTAGTGGCCTGAACCATATGTAGATATGATTATAACTTTTAAAAAAGTTATATGGAGATGATTTGTAAGTCCATCAAAAATACACATTTATAAGTTAAGCAAGAAGTTACATGTCATCACCCTTGTCAGCTGTAGGCAACAGTGGATGTCAGTCTCCATAAATGTTTCTTGCAGATCTGGGTCCCATAGGATTATTTCCTTCGTGCAAAAAAATTTTTAAAAAAATGACCATTTCCTTTGTGAGAATTTTAAAAATAAAAAGACTTGCATAGTATGCAACATAGCAAATAATTTTCCAAACTACTCAAGGAACAGTTTTATTCCCATTAAAAAAACAGAGGCAAAGCTCCAGGACGTCATTATCAGACAAAATGGATTCACAATACAGAACATGAGAGCTAATCTAATTTATACCAAACCCCATGCTTTGTTACAGAAATCAGATGCCTTGAACTCACAAAAGTGGCAACCATGCATGCACAACACAGCAGCATTTTGGGCATAAGGAAATGGAGAAGAGGCGCATACCTGTTCCATGGTAAGTGAGATACCTGGAAAAAAGAAAAGTAGAGGCCATCAGTTTCAAGCATATCAGAGAATTATACAAATTAGTACTAGGAATTACGCAATATTGGAGACAATTCAACCATGTGAGGGGCAGTCTAGCTTAGACACCAATTCATCACATGTTTTATAACTATTTACTGCACAAAACTATTTCCCATATGCTCATTACAGAAGAGAGCTTAACTATGCACACACAAGTTCACTAGAATTGCGAACCAATTTAGTTAATGCCACTTTTGTTCATATCTTCCAAGGAAAATCGAAGTGAAGTTAAGTGTTTCAATTCAAAGTAGTTTATATGAGAATCATAGCAAATGATTTCTGTGCACAAGGCCTCCCACCCATAAGGGGGCCAAGCTAGGCATTTTTAGATAAATTTCACGCATCCGGAAAAAAATGTTGATATCCAGGAAGAAAAATCTGACAGAAATTGGACTTTTTGACCATATTGTGGGCAAGAAACTCCCTTCCATTCTGTATGGCAGCCCAGTAACCTTCAATTAGGAGTCATAATCCTACATTTCTCGTTGGGAGGCTACACCAATCTTTACACCCCCCTTTCTTCCTCAATTAGTATAAATTAGCCTACCTCTTCAGTGGCCATTATTTAACTCATATCAGTTTGTGTTGTACTTCTTACCTCTTCACCTACTTCTGTATAAATCTCACAAGTAAATTTATCTCAAGTATTGCCTTCTCAAGGTTTTCCTTTCCTATTCCTCAACTCATGGTTTGGAATATTTTGTTGTACTTATTCCAATACTTTTATTCTTGACAGTTTGCAAGGGTCAGATTTTCATTTCACATGCATCATTGAGTTGTTTCTAGGTCATTGTTGACATAATAAACTTTTTGTTTTGATTGATTTGTTATCTAAAATTTAATATATTAACATGTCTTACCTAAGCATTCATATTTTTGTAAAACCTAGCTCAACTAACAAGTTCTATTTGTTTCAAATTTCATATCGAAAATACTTCTGTAGTTCTAAGGCTAGATAAGGGTGTTCCAAGGCTAGCTGTTATAGTATACGATAATCATAATGCTCGAGGAAGGTCTAAAGCCAAAGTTCAATAAGTTTCACCAAAAGAGCCTACAACATGGAATTGTAACAGACTGCCCAATCTTCCGCATTATTAGTGGTCGGGGCCTGGGTCGGATTTGGATCGGACTCCCTCTCGAACAACCGCATGACTTGGCACGTGTCGCTTGCGAGGCTCATGCGTCACTCTTGCGGATAGGTATGTCCAGAAAGGATTTTTAAAATGCGGTGAAGAGATGAACAGAAGCACCTACCTCGCTGCGGTTTGAGTTCGTGGGATAAGCCCAGGCTGATGCCCTCTTAAGATCAGCACACGAAATCCCTTCGGCTGTCCAGCAGCTCGGTTTGGACACAGCCCCCTCTCAGACTCAACACCTCATATCGTACTCTTGCTTTAAGAAACTGCCGATGAAGTTCGTGAAAAGTATACTCCTCTTGAATGTACCTCTTGATGCATGAGTGGCTCTAAATGGTTTAGGAATGGAAGGGACGAAAGTCCCTCACAGCCTGAACACTATATGACCTGGAGATTAGAGTATTGAAAGGGTCAGAATTCTAAGAAAGCCAACTCAGGATGACTCCAACTAGAGTAAATAGGTGCAAGAGAAGCAATGCCTCTTACAACCTGAATTCACTGTACGAGAAGGTAGTTACAGCGATACTCGAATTAGGGCCCTAAGATACAATCTCATAATGTCCTCAGGTTAAGTGTTTTTTAAGCGATGTGAGAGATTACCAATGAAGAAGATGAGATAAGAAGGTGACAAGAATAAAGATAAATGAAATAAATGAAAGATTAAAAAAAGGTGGCTTAGAGAAGGGAAGATGAAAGGTGTGAATGTGAATGTAAGGAACAAGAGGCAGTTAGAGACTATGGGGTGTAACGATGGGCAGGGCCACAAGGGTTTGAGCATATGTGGTGGGCACGAATGAGATTGAAAGGAAGCGAAGCGCGGGCAAGGGTGCAAAGGCGTGAGAGTGAAGTAGCAGGCGCGTTAGGCGAGGGCACAAGAGAGGGACATGAATGAATGATGGTGATAATGCTGGTCGCAGGTGTAAGGGCGAGAATGAATGAAAGTGTGCGGTAGTGCTGAGTGCGAGGGTGAGTGAGGGTAGGTATGTGATAGGTGCAGGCAGGTGTGCAGAGAATAATAGGCGCGGGTGTAAGGTGAAGGCGTGAGTGTGTAAATAATTATGAAGCACAGGTGCGAGACGATGGTGTAAAGGATACAAGTGGATTAGACGCAGGTATGAGTTGATGCGAGATTTAGGCGCAAGTTAGGAATGAGAAACGAGTTAGGTTAGGGCATGGGTGCAGACGCGAGCACATGTGAATGGATAGGCGCGGGTAGGAGCGTTGGATTAGGCGTGGGTAGGTGTGCGTATGGATAGGCGCGGGTAAGTGTGATTGCAAGATTAGGGGCGGGTGGAGGATTGTGGATTTAGGCACAAGCGGAGGATTGTAGAGTTAAGCACGGTTGAAAGGGAGTGAAGGCATAGAGTGATGGCCGTGGGCGAGAGGTTGTGAGCGTGAGTGAATGAAGGGCGGACAAGGCGCGAGCAGAGGGTTGTGAGCGTGAATGAATGAAGGGCGGACAAGGCCCAGGCAGGAGGTTGATGCGAGCAAGAGTGACAGGCGGATAAGGCGCATGCACGCAAAGATGTGAGCAAGAATGAGTGAAGAAGTAAGAGAGTGCTAGGCCCTTCCTAGGTGCGGGTCCAGAGAGTTGGATGTAGAAGAGAGGGGAAAAGAGAAAGAGAAAGGAGGGGAAAGCAGGCAATGCTCGGACCCGCCCTGAGTCTGCGCAAGAGGGAGAAAGAGAGGGTGAAAAATGAAATAGAAGAAAGTGAAAGAAGGAAGAGAAAGAGAGGAGAGAGAACGGACTTAAGTTGTGCTCGAACCTAGGTGCACATCCATGGGTCCCTTTGCATGCACATGAGAAAGAAGGGTCTTGGGTTTGGGTTAACGCTAGGGTCTAAGGTCTAGGTGTGGTGTACGGGACCTTGAGGTGTATGGTATGGATTAACGTGTAGGGAGTAGGCTATAGTGTATGATGGCCTAAGGGTATTTTTTCTCTCTATGAAATGTTTCTCTCTCTTCTCCTCTTGGTCTTGAATTTGAAAGCAAAGTTCAAGCACAAGCAAGAACTTGATAACAAATGACTTAACCTTCAAGAATCATCCAAAGACCTTATTACAAGTGACTTGGGTTTCCTTATATAGAGCAACCACTAAACAAGGGTGGGATGCTTAAAAGTACCCAAGATTGTCAAAACATACACATTTACTGAATTAAAATAATCATCCCGTATTTGGACCAAATGACCAAAATGCCCCTAAGTACTTTTCAGCAAATGACAAAACCATCCATCCATGAGGGGCCTCTTGCCATTGCTAGTCTTCAGGAGCTTTTTCGGACATCCATAATGGTAATTCCAGCAATCAATCGTAGTAGAATCGACGCATGAACTTTTGTGAGCGTTTTGATACCCCTTTGATTGTCTTGAACAGAGTTTTTAAGAAGAACCCAAAATCCGGCCAAGTCCATAAACTTTGCAATTCTTCAGCCATCAATGTAGTATGATCTATGATGTTCTTCATTTTTGTCACAAATTGAAGAAGACATTGTAACAATCATTTTGCAGTAAATTTTGTGTTTTGGTCTTGATTTGAGCATATTCCAAATTTGGGCCGACAAATGGGATTCCGACGACCGAAAAAGTATGCCTTTCTTCAACCTCAAAATTCGTGCCATCCGGCCTCCGATTATGCATAAAACTTGTACCAAACTGTAGCTTTTCAAGCACGGTCGCAACAGACATGTATTTGCGACGATCTGACACTGGGATCTTGAGCTATGGCCTCTCTAAAAATTGGATGTTCTCTTGTATAAGTTCTGAATTTTCATATTTTTAGCTCATTTTCTCTTTAGAAATTCTCTCATTTCGGGTCAAGCCAAGATGCGTGCCTTATATCAAAATGATCAGGTCGTCAAGATCTAGCTCATGTCCAAGTTTAAGCTTAATTGGACTTAATATGAGTAAGATATGATCATCATCCCGAAATGAGAAGACAGTTTCCATTTATAGAAACTGGTTTACTGAGGCTGCACCGCAATAGTGTAAAACCCACCTTTTTATAGTAATTAGGATTAGAATGGTCACGTAGGGTCTGATTGAGCCCAAATTTGATCCTTGGGGGTCTGGTACTATTTTGAGACCCAAAAAAATAGGATTGTAGTTATAGGGTCCCTTTTTAACTCGATAGGAACTAGATTTGAAAACCAAGTTTCGTCCAGGTCATGTCAAAACTTATCAGAACGCGATGAAACTTTAAAGGTGTCCTTAGGGTATCCCAAATTACCCTCTCGTGAAATTTGAGGCTTTTCTGACACTTCTTTAGAGGTTGCCTAGTTTTAGGCTTATTGTTGTAGTGTTCCCGTGGTCTGGCGATGTCTGGGGTACCGGCGGGACCAAGTTACTACTGGCTCTCTTCTTATTCGCATCGGGGATACAAGTATGTCAAAAATGACGTATAACAGCTTGCCCAACCGAATGTTACTCTTCGAGAGAAGCGATAAGTGTAGCATTTGAAACAAAAACTTCTTCAAAGTTCATCTTTCGAATCCTACTAAGACGCTTTTATTGCCTCTCAACAATCTTTTTCTTCTCAATCACCGGTATCAACACGATCCTTGAGGGGGATACCCTGCTAAGCTTCTTCCCTAGGGGATGACCGAATGCTACTAAAATACGTTTTCTGGGGGAGCATGTTGACTGCGTGCCTTGTAAAAGGGCTTACCTTTCCAACCCAACAGTGCTTCCTAATGGGCCAGCTGGTGGGTGCCTTTGGGGCTTGCTCCCAATCCAGTGCTGTGGGAAAGGATGGTCCGATTTTCAACTGAGGGTCTTTTGTGAACTTGATCCCAGTGTGGCTAGAACT